ATATATATATATATTAGAAATGATAAAAACACACACAGACTAAAACTTTACAATGAAAAATGAAAATGGAAAATCTCAAATAAAAACTGATGGAAAATATTAATGAAAACTATAACAGCATCTGATCAGTAACACCCCACTTGTGTTTTTTAAGCTTTTGGTGTCTTGAAAAAGGCAGTTGCTAACAAATGGCTAAATGACACTATACAGAGTTTGTCAGAGTTTATTGTGTTTATTACGATTATATTTACCGTAGGCTTCAAAATTCATAAAGTTGTGTTCATTTGTGAGGATTATCTTGAGCAAAACGTGCATGAATCAAACTTTTGTTGGTCACAGACCTTATTTTCTGCATTATTCCAAAAGCCAATGAAAAAGTCCTTTATGGTTTTTGTTGAGGGAACTACTCTGGGGGAAAAAAAAAATAATTTTTTTTTTTTTTTTTTAAAGTGGTGCAGAAACAATTTTTACTCAGTAATTGCAAGTAAATTTCACAAAGAAACGGCAAGCAAAATTGAATTAAAAGTGAAATTTTAAAGTAGAAAGACTAAAATATTATTTTCTTGTAAAATGTACTCCAATAAATTGACAATTTTTACAGTATAGCAGATAATTTAATACAATGCAGGGTGATGTTAACTTTTTTGTTGCCCTACAAAAATACATCACTGCAGCGCTCTAAATAGAATCAATGTGTAATGAGTTCACATACTCAAAAACCTAATTTCCTCTCATACAGGAAACTGTGCCCACTATCAGAAGGGTGGTTGGTGGTACAACGCCTGCGCCCACTCCAACCTGAACGGTGTGTGGTACCGCGGTGGCCATTACCGCAGCCGCTACCAGGATGGAGTTTACTGGGCCGAGTTCCGCGGAGGATCGTATTCTTTGAAGAAGGTCACTATGATGATCCGACCGAATCCCAACACTTTCCATTAGAACATCATGTGAAGGAAAACGCAAGTCTAATTCGTCATAACTCAAAAAACGTTGTAAAAAGTGCAATGTTAATGTTTTTTTTTATTTTGGTTAATTATTGATTTTTTACTTTGTTTTTGAGTCTTATGAATTCATAATATGCAGTCACACATATCCAAAACCAAATATATGAAAGTGCAATGACTTCATGAAGGAGACATAACTCATATCTTCTTGGGATTCTTCCCAATGGTGTCCAGGACACTGAAGACCAAGTGAAAATACTAGAAAAACTTCAGTCAGACAAACCTGGCAACTCAGGTTCCACATGACCTGGAAGCTGAACAGCATCGAGTGCGTCCTTACAAGTGTGCTTAAAATGGGGATAGAGTCTGATCTTAACAGGCATCCGGTCACCTTATTCTCACTGTAAGAAGTCTAACCTTGAAGAACTGTTATTTTGAGTACTTTAGTGCTATAAAACATGACCTGTTGTGTACCAACGGACGCATTTGAACATATAGATTCTCATTTGATCTGTTTATAGCATTGACTTCCAATACAGGGTACACTGCAAGTGGACATCCTAAATGTATTTCTAATGCAAAAATGAAAATTCTGTTGTCGTTTAGAGGTAAATTTAGCCTAGTCGTTTGAATGATTTCACTCTGGTCCTTTAGACTGAGTGCTCTTTTGAAACCATTTGTATATAGAAAATATGAGTGAGTGTTTTTGTAATGCAAAGTATGATTGTGTTGTGTACTTACAGAATTTTCCAATAAATTATGTAAAGCTACTATGTTGTAGAGACAAGCTCTTCTGTGATCAACTGCGAAAAACATACACATGTCTTGCCCTATAGACTACAATGCATTAGAAACACGAAAGACCGATAGAAAGGTTGAGCTCAAACCTCAATGTTTTCACTTGTACAAGCAACTTAAAGGTTCTAAAGGGCCCTATGGGAGACTCCGGGTATGTCCTGAGTGCAAGAGAACAGACCCGAACCTTTGCTGCTCAAACATCAATCATTATAAATGAAAAATGGTGTCATTAACATTAGCTTCCAAATGAGGAAAACCTTGTAAATGGATGGAAAATACATTAGCGTCAAGAATGAAATGAAATTGGCATTTGCAAGCCATTTTAATTCTGTAATGTAAAGCATTTCCAATTGAAAGAGGATATTGTTGAGGAAAAGTAGAATGGTGGAATTTATTTTATTAATCAGATATGAACTGAATTGTAAATTGTACAGGTGAACAGAGGGAAGTCAAGATCAGGAACATGTTTTCAAAGAAAAGTTCACTTAAAAATGAAAATTTGTTGAAAATGTCCTCACCCTCAGGCCATCCAAGATGTAGATGAGTTTGTTTCTTTTAAACCATTGTTTCCATCTGAAATGATTCCTCTAGCCATAATACTGCTTTCTCCAGTGGAACAAGTGGTCTGGTCTGAATCAGGAGAAAAATATGCACAGATCAAGAACCGTTTACAAGCAAAAACAGTCCAAAACAACTCTAAACAAATATGTGGGTGGATTTTAATGTGAGAGACAAAAGGAGATGGACTTTTTCACTGGAGGAAACGTTATTATGGATTATGGATTTTGGCCAGAAGCAATGGTTTAAAGTTAAAATGTCTTAATGATGGATTTGCTTTTATACAAACACACAGCTTTTCACTTCTCAAGGCATTAACTGATGGACTGGAGCGGTGTGGATTACTTGTGGATTATTGTGATGTTTTTATCAGCTGTTTGGACTCTCATTCTGACGGCACCCATTCACTGCAGAGGATCCATTGCTGAGCAAGAGATGCAATGCTACATTTCTCCAAATTTGATGAAGAAACAAACTCATCTACATCTTGGATGGCCTGAGGGTGAGTACATTTTCAGCAAATTTTCATTTTTGAGTGAACTATTCCTTTAACAGTTTATTTTGTTCTGCATTATTGAACGTCAATCTGACCTACAGACATATTGCACACAGGAAGGAAAAAATGTTTTGTTTCAATGCTTTTATATGCCGGCCAATTATTACTGTATTTCAGATTAATGGCACATAAAAACTAAAACAGCGGTCTGTCGCCTTAATATGTCAGGCAAACAATCTCTCACTAAGTGAACAATTTTTGGCCAGAATAAGCTACAGGAAAGATAACACTTTATGTTTAGTTAATGGTTTGGATGCATGAAACTACCAAATTCATGTCCAAACAACATGTGATCCCAGCAACCAAACTTCAAGAAAATGAGTACAGTCTGTCCAAGAAATGCTTAGACAATCCCAAAGAAACAGCACCTGTAACATGTCTATAAATCAAACCCAGAGTACCTGATATGTATCCCTCCATCTTCACCCAATTTGAGTTAAATCAGAACAGCAGCTGTAAATGACTAAGTGCTGAGGAATATGAGACATAGTTTCCCTGATCATTGATATTGCTGTAACAGCACAGAGGGTTTGGAATCAATTTATTGTTGAGTCTCCAGACTTACTGAGAATCTGTGAGATAATAAGAACCGTACATCTGTGACAAATAATGGAGTTCAATACACATTAGAGTGAGAGAACATGGGAAAACACTGAAAAATGACTGGCTAAAATAATAAAAAACAAACAAATCTGAATTGCATGTTTCATATTCAAACACTGAGAGTAATTTCAAGGAAGATATCATATTGAAAACACATGCAGCATGCATGCTATCATTAGAAACTCTGTAAGGTGACCAAAAATGCCATGATGTTCTCTAAAACAAATATGAGAAACCGCAAGGCTGAGAAAAACGGTGCTTGTAGATGTCCACACATTTCATGAAAAGATACAATTAACTACCAACATTTGGCCCCACGAAACAGAACACAATTCTCTATTCTTTCTTACATAAACTGCTGCGCTGAATTGAATGTGACATTTTACATCAGAATGTTTTCATGAATGACTTAGCTAGACACACATCTGTTCAGATTGTGTTTCATGAATGAAGTTCAATGTGTTTATATATTTACACATATAATGAATCTCATCTGGACATTTGAACATACTGAGATATTGTTCAAATGTCCAGATGAGATACATGACATGTAGAAATATATACATATATAGACATATAAAGTCAATTTCATGCTTTTATGAATCTCTAAAAAAGAATCAGGCACTGATTAAATGTACCATTATACAATGATATACTATCAATATTTACACTACCGTTCAAAAGTTTTGTGAGAGTATTTTTGAAAGAAATTAATATATAATAAAAGTTTTATTCCACAAGGATGCATTCAATTTATAATATCACAAATATAATTCAAGTAAATGTTGTTCTTTTGAACTTTCTATCCAAAAAATCCTAAAAAATAGTTTTCTACAAAAATATGAAGCTGTACTGTTTTCAACATTGATAATAATCAGAAATGTTTCTTGAGCATCAAATCAGTATATTAGAATGATTTCTGAAGGATCATGTGACACTGAAAACTGGAGTAATGATGCTGAAAATTCAGCTTTGACCACAGAAATAAATTACATTTTACAGTATATTCAAATAGGAAACGGTTATTTTAATTTCTAATTTAGTTTTTAAAGTGTTTTTGATCAAATAAATGCAGCCTTGGTGAGTAGAAGAGACAAAAATCCAAAAACATCAAAATATATTTTAAACCCCAAACTATTAAACGGTAGTATTGTATATTTCGCTTGCCAAATACAAATGTGAATACATGTCTACTTCTGAATGGCCGACATTGGAGAAAGATTTGTAGAACCAGATGAGGTATTTACAGAATCTACCAACTCTGATCCCTTGGTCAGTCAGGAAATGTTAAAAAGATCATTCTTCCAGTTCATTCGTCCCACTGGAAGGTGAAGTAAAGCCCGTCTGGAGAGAGAGACTGAAAGAGAGCAGACAGATGGGGACTCACCCAGGTAGGGGATGCATGGCACCATCTTGAGGGAACGGATGTACTCTCTCATCCTGGCGCAGTTCTCCTCTTTGGAGGTCAGGTAGTCCAGCTTCTCAAACGTGGCCTTGTCCTTCCGACTGATCAGCTGGGAAAAATAAAACAAAACAGGAAAGTTACGGCACTCTGTTAGTTTTTCATCTGAATACAGGCCGTGATGAGAAGCTACTTTAAAACCATAGTTTAACAACATACAAGCTGCACAGAAAAAAGCTCACAAGGAAATGCAACCGAATTCAACACCAATCATTCATCCTTTGCATGTTTCTGAAATATTTTGACTAATGATTGTTCTCAGCTGTCAATAAGAGTATAAAGCTCTGGTCAATTGGTCAATTCTGCAGACCATTTTACACAAAAATCAGCAGAGAAAATGTGAAGTCTGCAGATTCCATTCCATGCATTATTTTAATTATGCTGTAAAAATTATTTCTCAAATTTGTCCATCAAATTTGTTTCTTTACATTCTACTTAAAAATTATTTGTTTAATTCAATGTTACTTGGCATTTCTTTTTAATTATCTGTGAAATGTAATAGCAATTTCTGAGTGAAAATTGTTTCAAAGTAAATCCGATACCAATTTTTTTTTTCTCTCTCCATACATTCAATCAATTTTCAGTGAACACTGAATTCTTTTTAGGGTATATTTTGGAGCTTCATGCGCATTTACATTGATTAAATGGAAGTGAGTGGCTCAGGACTGCAGGTTACCAAAGATTGAACCCTCCTTTTCTGATAAAAATCTGGGTACTTGGTTTGTGTAAGTGAATTGCAATTGGGTTTCATGCAATTCACCAAAAATCAACAAAGAAAAACATGAAAGAATCATTTAAAAACAACAACAACAACAAAAAATAAACTCTATTGTAGGTTTACAGAGACTAAAAAATATATAAAACATGCAAGAAATGTTCTCATTTCTTTTGTGTTATTTCTATTGTGTAATGGATAGATTTGACCCACATATTTTTTTTTTATTCAAAATGAACTGCACAGACACAAAATAATAATAATAAAATAAGTTTATGTTTATTTTGTCATGACTACTAGTGACTGAGGTGCAAATAACCACAACTAAGTATAATTAGTATCTAACATTATTTGTATTTAGCATTATTTATTGCTATTTGTACTTGCCTTTTTATGTCTAGTTCTCAAACCCTTGTGAGGGTAAAATGGGTTTCTCACACTTTTCAGTGCTACACCAGACAAATGACTGAGCTCCAACAAACCATCAACCAAAAACATTCTTTCACAGATTTCTTTCTGACAGTGAAACTCAAACAGATGAAGAAACAGTGAATTCTCCTGGGATGATTCAGAAGACAAGCCTTCAATTTCAAGTACTTTGAGTCTTAAGTTTCATAAGCTGTCATGCAATTCATATTTTATGTCTGGCAAGCTATACAATAAAAGGTTTTCTGTTTTTTTACCAGACCCTTTGTTGTTTTTCAAAGCGTTGATTTTTGGCAAATTGCTTGGAAACCAATGGAGGTCAATTTGACCTCTAACATAATTGATTTAAGCAAAATTTATAGTCTTTCCAAAGTAAATTTGTGTTGAAACTTTACATGCACGTTCATGACCCTAAATGAGAAAGTCACAAAATACAAGAAGAACCGAATCGTTCAACCACCATTTCAAGCGGTTTAAAAATCAAATGCAGAGTGAATAAGAACAGCTGGTGGATCATAAAGAGGGACCTTCTCAACGCGCCGAGCAATGCAAACAAACAGCTTTTAGCAGCCCGCCCCGAGTGAATGAACAACCTGCGGAGGGAAACCATCAGACCAACTGTTTTCTGATGCTTCTTTTAGACTTCACAGCTGTTAGCGGTCATGCCCGGAGTTTGACCTGCGCTACACACTCTGAAAACACTCATGCATTCCATTTCTGGAGGATGAAGCCCTTAAGATCTGTAGTATACAGGTGAATCTCAATAAATTAGAATGCCGTGGAAAAGTTCATTTATTTCAGTAATTCAACTCAAATTGTGAAACTCGTGTATTAAATAAATTCAATGCACACAGACTGAAGTAGTTTAAGTCTTTGGTTCTTTTAATTGTGATGATTTTGGCTCACATTTAACAAAAACCCACCAATTCACTATCTCAACAAATTAGAATATGGTGACATGCCAATCAGCTAATCAACTCAAAACACCTGCAAAGGTTTCCTGAGCCTTCAAAATGGTCTCTCAGTTTGGTTTACTAGGCTACACAATCATGGGGAAGACTGCTGATCTGACAGTTGTCCAGAAGACAATCATTGACACCCTTCACAAGGAGGGTAAGCCACAAACATTAATTGCCAAAGAAGCTGGCTGTTCACAGAGTGCTGTATCCAAGCATGTTAACAGAAAGTTGAGTGGAAGGAAAAAGTGTGGAAGAAAAAGATGCACAACCAACCTCACAATTAAAAGAACCAAAGACTTTAACTACTTTAGTCTGTGTGCATTGAATTTATTTAATACACGAGTTTCACAATTTGAGTTGAATTACTGAAATAAATGAAATAAATACATTTTTAAATGAAATAAAAAATAAAACTTTTCCACTACATTCTAATTTATTGAGATGCACCTGTAGTCAATCATTTGTATGGTGAATCTGGGTGAAACAGTCCTGAAGATAAAGCTGCTATTCGATAACCATCTTGGTTCAAAGCTAAATGCTATGCAAGCATGTGAACGTAAAATATATCAGATTTGTCTCTTTTGGAGATCGTGATGAGTGATGATTATTAAATGACAGTGAAAAACCTGTCCTTTCTCCACTGTGCAAGTGCTACAATATCTAAAAGATCAGAGAATAAAATGAAAACCAAACTATTGCAAAACATCCTTTTCCCAATAGGTTTATCTATTGGGAAAGGTGGGCAGGTACCTCTGCCCACCCAGCTGGTTTCAAAATACAACCAACAACTCCAAAGCCAAAGCGGCATATGGTGCAAAACTCAGGAGACACTCGCGTCTCCATACATGTGCCTCATTAATAACGACTCCGACTGGTCACGCCATGAGCTCATGGAAGCCACGATCTCATTGGTTTACGAGGCTCTGGGGGACAATGCTAAAGGCTTGTACATTTACAGTGGTAAATACCTCATGATGGGAAGAAATAGACACATTTGAAATTCCACTGACTAATGCAGAAAACTGTGGGCGAAACACAGAGCTGTGGAGCACTTGAGCTCAAGACTTTGACAAGGAAACATTAAGGCGCTAGTCAAGGTATTCAATCAAACAACAGCTGTATAAACACATATATTGAAAAAATGCTAACACATATGCTAAAGGAGAAAGGTGTAATTTAACACAGAATTAATAATATTAATTATAAGTATACAATACTGTTCAAAAGTGTTTTTGAAAGAGGTTTCTTACACTCAGCAAGGCTGCATTTATTTGAACAAAAACACAGTAAAAATTGTGAAATATTATTATAATTTTAAAGAACTGTTTTCTGTGAGAATATGTTTTCAAATGTAATTCATTCCTGTGATCAAAGCTGAATTTTCAGCATCATTGCTCCAGTCTTCAGTATCACATGATCCTTCAGAAATCATTTTAATATGCTGATTTGCTGCTCCAGAAACATTTCTGATTATTATCAATGTTGAAAACAGTTGTGCTGCTTCATATTTTGAAACCATCAGGATTTCAGGATTCTTTGATGAACTGGACTCTCAAAAGAACATAATTTATTTGAAATAAATCTTTTGTGACATTATAAATGTCTTTAATGTCACTTTTGATCAATTCAATGCTTCCTTGCTGAATATAAATCAATCAATCTTACTAATTTTTTTAATGGTAGTGTACAAACATGAAAAAGGCTTTAAAAATGTGTACAAAAAGTGTCTTCGAAATGAATAAATTTAAGTGACTGAATTTTTGGTTTGAATTTAATTTTAGTGATGGTTTTTGATACATGCAGATTAAATGGTTATGGCCGACCAGAGAAATGCAATTAATTTTAGACTTGTTTTTAGACATCCAACTAGACTATTACATTTAGATGTATGCATTTAGCACACACCTTTATCTAAAGCAACTTGCATTGCATTCAAGGTTTACATTTTATCAGTTCATGCATTCCCTGGGCTTTTACAGTTTGAGCTACAGGAACACATCTTAACATTTTCAGAAGAAACAGAGTAAGGTTTGTTCTAATGACTAACCAATAGGTATGATTGTGCAAAGTGTAAGTACTGTAATACAAAATAAAGTCTTCACTTGGTAGCTGGAAATGTCAATTACATGGATATACAAGGTGCACAGTGGGATTAGTGGAAAAAACTACTGTACAAGAGGAAATTTCCTTCAGTTCATGTTCAGACAGCGCAGACAGCCTGCTAATATATCACTCCACACTGACACAACCCTTTCCCAACATGCAAGCCGACAAATATCCTTTTAGAGGCTGCATAGGAATATTTTATGGTAGGATTTGAGGCTAAGCTAGATGGACGTCAGATAGCAAAGCTAAAGCAAGCCGAGGACCAAAGCTATAAAGACATACAGTAACTAAACTCACCCAGCATGGAAACTTAGACTGACCCGATAAAGTGGAATATGGAATGCGATATAAAATCGGGACAGTCAGCATCTTGGTGTTATAGTTGGCAGAGGGATGAGAAGTGTAAAATGAGACTGTGTCATGTTTCACGTCTGTGGTGAGCAGAAAATGTGAGAAAAACACGGGTGTGTACACAAACACACACAAGGCCTCGCTGCTTGGAGTCGTCAGATATGCTTACATGAACTGCGGACATACTGGAAAAAGAGACACAAATGATTTCAACACATGTAACCACAAACGAAAAGAACAGAAAGGATGACAAATTTTTTAATTCCTGATTTGGAACTTGGAACAGCGTCATTTGAGCTGCAGTTACAACAAAAACTTTGTTATAAAGACAACGTAATAACAATAAACAACATGACCTAAAATATTTGAATATATTGAGCTATCATTATATTTATGATTATTTCACTAAAACTCATTGTTTCGGGTCAAGAAAATGTATAAATAATATTTAAACAGTTCCAGGGAATATACTTTAATCACAAGTTCTCAGGAGAA